TACTGTTGTAGTCAAGACCACCTTAACAAAGACCAAGACAAGACCAGCACTCCTCAAATGTCTGAGAAATGTCTTATATTTAATCAATAAATACAATTAGAATTAGACACTATAGAGCGTGTTACCAGTCAAATCACTAAAACATAACATTCATCTTTGTGTTGCAGAGGTGGCACAGAAGTTGCATCTGAATTGGTACAATTACATCTGCATAAATAATGTAGAGATTAATGTTTTAAAAATAACATTTTGAATATAGAAATATGATGGAAAAATAAAATGATAGGTCTACTTTTAAAACGGAAATCAATGAGCAAGTCACGGAATCATTTATTCAACTTATTTGTTTAAAGCAGCTGATTAAATTTTGTCTAAAATTGTGTCTAAAATGTATGTCGCTCTATAACATTCTTAACGTTTTTATAAAATCAATATCACATTTGCAATCGTACTCATATTCATACATTCATATTTCTTGCTCTTGTGATATTGCTTAATTATATCCTATGTTAATAATATAAAAATCTCATACAAACAGGTCATTTGTATTCATTTTGGGATAAAATCCTAAGTCCTCTTAGTCTGAGGCCGAGCCAAGACCAAGTACAAATACGGTCGAGGTCGAGGCCGAGACAAGACCAAGACCTTTAAAAAATGGTCTCAAGATCAAGACCGGTCACGAGTACTACATTAAAAATTGAATCATTTATTGAAACTATAGACAAAAAAAAAAAGACAAAAAAAGAAGAAGAATCAGCTTGTATGCGTTTCTGATGAGTATCGTATTTGATACATCAGCCTTTTATGGCTCATATGACATGGGAGAATATGAAGCCCATACTCAAGGAGAAAAAAATACCACCATTTTTATTCAGAGACCCAAACTGTCACAAATATGCAATTTGCTGCAGTTGTTGTCATTTATATGGCCAAAAGTAAGATGAAATTCTGATAGTTTGTAATGTAAATCAATGAGATTTTTATAATCAGTTGTCTCACTATATCTCCCAATAATATGTGTAAGAAAGATGATATTAAAATGCTCAGCTTTATGATCAAAGCTCTGTAGTTTTGCAATTCAATGAAACTCATATATTGATATTAATATTGATACTCATATCCTGATATGATTGTTCTAAAAATGATGTGTGATTTATCAAGTTAACCTCAGTTGCTTCAGCCTATAAATGCTTACCTTGAAATATTACTAACAATAGAAACGTTATTCTCACATTTACTTTATAAAAAACAGAATAGATTTCACAGTAAAAAGACATGTACCACGACCTGAAGGGGGGCATTTTTACAATTCTACTAAAAACTCTTTTACTTGTTAAAGAAATATAAACTATCATTCAGATGACATGTAGAAGATTGTGTGCAACAGGTTTTTCATCAAAGTTATTCATCAGAAGTTTAGAGGCTGTAGAAATTTGCATACAACAAGAAATCTACTACTAATGTTGTAACAGAATACCAGATTTGAGTGGAGGAAAAACTAGAGCAGGGTCTTCTGGTGGGTGAGCTCTTCTTTTCTTCCTCCAGCGCCGGGCGGGATATGTGTACAGCTGTCCTGGTGCTGTACCTTAAATAGTAATCATAAAGTCTGCATGTCAGTAACAGTAGCACAGACTGAGAATAGAATCAGCGTAAATGGGCTGAAGCCAAACCTGCGCTCCTGTGTCTCTTCTCCATCCAAATGTAGCAGTTGCTTTGAGCAACTCCAGTCTGGGAGTCCAGGAAGGGCATGAGGATGCTCCTCTCGGCACACAGCCGGGCGTTATAACTATGACACTGCTCCAAAGCATCTTTGTAGTACTGTTCTCCAAGTCTTCATTCCACACACAAACAAGAGAGAATACCAGCATATAAGTTTCTACACAGCATGTGATTTATATTTACTGTTTACATGCACACATTCACTTTTCATTAGCTAACGTTTAATCTTAGTCTTGGGTGATAGATAGTAACGGCCCTTACAAAAATTAACCATGTTTTTACTACAAATAAAAAAGAAACATGGTAACCACAAAACAACCATGGTTTTGCTACACTAACCATAGTTTAACCATGGTATTTGTAGTAAAACTGTGGTTATACTGTGGTAATCAATCCTCCAAAAAAACATGGTTACTACACTTTTACTATAATAAAACAATGGTTCATTTTCGTAAGCGAGTATTTTTAAATTACATTTCGTGCGTCACAACGTGCTGATATGCAAACAATGGACCTCAATGTAATGTATTCATTTTTGCCAGTTTTCAAAAACAAAACGACAATTTGATAGACATTTCTTAAAAAGTTGGACAACAGAACGCAAAAAAAGCAAACTAACCAGTGACTGGCAAGTGTAACTGATTTAAAAAGTAGACACATGGCTGTATTGCTCTTTGATGTCACAGTAACGTTAAACGATGAATGAACGAGGAACAGATTAGCTAACCAAACACCACCACAATACTTCAGCCTTACTTTAGTATATAAAACCATGCAAATTCAGCAATAATTTAAGAATATCATATGGTGATTCATTGAAAGAGTTTAAAAACTACATGTACTCACACTTTAACGATATTCTCCACGGCAGTCGCCATTGTTTTGCTGTAGTGGGCTGTTGTTGTCTTCACTGCGCATGCGCATTGGGTCCTTTTTGAATCAACAATACGTTCTTATCTTTAAATGAAAAGATTTCCGTCGTTGCAAATGGAAGCTAAACAGATTTTTTTTTTTTACAAAATATTTTAACGAAACACTCACGATAATACTAGTAAACCAAAACAACTCAAAACCATTGATCTCATTCTGCGATGGGCGTGCTTACGTTTAAATGACGTCTTCCGCCCGCACCGCCGCCATTTATATCTCACCGCCATTTTACATCAACTCAGAAGAGATTAGATTACGAAGATGACGGCTCAAATGGAAAATCAACTTTGCAAGCTCTTTGTCGGCGGTCTCAACGTCCAAACCACCGACGATGGGCTGCGAGAACATTTTGAGCAGTACGGGAAGCTCACGGACTGCGTGGTGGTGCAAAACCAGCAGCTGAAGCGCTCACGTTGCTTCGGTTTCGTGACCTACTCGAGCCCGGAGGAGGCAGACGCGGCCATGGCGGCCCGACCTCATGTTCTGGACGGCAACAACGTCGAGCTGAAGAGGGCCGTTGCGCGGGAAGATGCGGGCAAGCCCGAGGCTCTCGCGAAAGTGAAGAAGATATTCATCGGTGGTCTTAAAGACGACATCGAGGAGGATCACCTCCGCGACTGCTTCTCCCAGTTCGGCGCGGTGGAGAAGGCGGAGGTGATCACAGACAAAGAGACCGGCAAGAAGCGCGGCTTCGGCTTTGTGTATTTTGAGGATAACGACTCGGCCGATAAAGCTGTGGTGCTCAAGTATCACATAATTAACGGGCATAAAGTGGAAGTGAAGAAAGCCCTGACCAAGCAGGAGATGCAGGCTGCTGGTAGTCGCGGTGGCCGCGGAGGCCGAGGTGGTGGACGGGGGATGGGCAGACCGCAGAACGGCTACGGCGGGCGCGGCGGAGGATACGGCAACTACGGCGGCGGCGGATACGGGGGCAATGACGGCTATGGAGGCGGATACGGTGGCGGGTATGGGGGAGGCTACGGGGACCAAATGGAGGGCTACGGCGGTGGTAACGGCTACAGTGACTTTGGCAGCGGCTATGGCCAGCAGTCCTCTGGCTATGGCCCAATGAAAGGTAATTACTCGGGCAGAAGCAACGCTCCTTACTCCCGAGGTGGTGGTGGTGGTGGTTACGGCAGGGGGGGTTACGGAGGCTCGTATTAGGAGCATTTATTAGGTCATATTAAGAGCAGCTCCTTCCCCAGCCCACATCACAGTTTTGACCACACATTATCTTCAGCTAAGTAGCCAGAGTTAGCCACCTTAATATGGCGTGGCATTGACTGAATCACTCAAGCTCCATTCAGGAGGTCACAACTTATCCAGCCTAGCAAATCATAGGTAGGGCTCACCTATCCGACTTTGCTCAACATCTTACAGCTGTTACTACTACTACTACACATCCTTTTGCTCTCTTCCCTGAAGTACTAGGGAGTTTTTTTTCCCAGCAAGACATAGGACTACTACTCTGGATCTCTACTTATTATAAGACTGGCCAGTGGTGGCAGGCTACCTGTTTGCGAAACTGTTTCCCATACGTTTTTTTTTTTTGGTGCATTGGGATTAAGTTAACATTAGTATTTTTGCTTGTTAGTGTTGGCATGTTTTTCTCCTTTTAGTATATGTATTGTATCTTTATTGTGTCTTTGTTTTCTTCTATTCAAGACTTATATAAATCTGGTTTAAATTTAGAGTCAATCGCAGTGAACCCCTATAGAGATTAAAGATTTAATTGGTTGGCAACGGGCACTATCTGCATATCATGTGATCTATATAGAGTGCAACTCGACGTAAAACGCAAAAAAAAAAAAAGATTTCCTAGTGATAAACTACAATAACCATGATTCTGTAAAAGAAAAAAAAGAAAACATCCACGATTCTGTAAAAGAAAAAAAAATCATCCACAACCAAAGAATTGAAACAAGCAAATTGTGCTTGTAAAAAAATGGTAAAAACACTAGCACCGCCTACTCCCATGAGGCACGGCAAATTACGTAATAGTCGTTCTCAAACTACTTAAATATTGTGTGTATGTAAAAATATTGTTTCTGTATACACATCTTTAAATCAATAATAGTTTTAGGTCTTTTTTTTTTATTCGCAATGCTTCTTGGGATTGTAGTTTTCCACTCATAGCAGTTACCTTCTTGTGTTGTACCTTTTGTCTGATTTTCAAATACTTTTTTACTTCAAAGTTTGCAATAATATGATTTACCTTGGTGCTGGTTGATTTGGTTCATGGTTAATAACATTTAAATGAGGACTTCTTAAAAATGGGGGTGAAATATTTCTGGAAATATGGCCACTGAAAAAGTGGACGTTCACTAATGCACTTGAAGGACTCGCTGTGGAGTCTGTTGGCAACCAATTAAAGATTTAATTAGGCTCGATGGCAACTAGAAGTTGTTCGTCCTAACATAAGAAACGTTTTGGAATAAACAAACTTCTGTGGCGTTTCAGAAAAAACAAAGTTAAATGGACTAGTTTCAGTTTCAAATGTTCAGGCTTACTTAAATCCCTCAATATTCGTTAATATAGTGACTAACGTGTCTCTCCCAATTAGTATCTTTTGTTAAATAGTTCAAGCAAACTGAAAATATTGTCATTGGTGTTACAGTGAACCTTTCTGACGGGACTCTGAAGACAGATTTGAGTTGTTTTTCTACAGTTTAATCATTTAGTAAAGGACTTTAATGTTCTTGTCTCATTGTATTACTGCTTCAACGGAATAACCTATTGAATATTGTTTATTTCAGATACAACTGAACTGTATGTACTTCTGTTAATAAAAACCATTACTCCGTAGCCATTATGGTTCTTGACGAGCTGAGATTTATTGGGTGGTTTTGACGTATATGAGGCCCGTTTAGTGATTTGTCTTTCCAACTAGGTAAGACTAAAATTGGAGGCGCACCCATTGGCTCTAGTGCTCAATATTACTTACATTTCTTTGCATCAGACATGTGGGGATGTTAATATTTTCCCAACCTTATGTTGTCTTTATTCTTAAAATATGTTTAGAGCTTTGTTCCAATACTTTTAGTGATCAAATAAGATGGATCTATACCTTAGCTGTGTCCACTACTACGTCATTGGATTCTCCAGGGGTACTCCAGAGATGTAGAAACCCAGCTGAAAATCCATAGGATAATCGCACCAGGTTTCCAGGTTTGTAGAAATACTTTATACACAAGACATTACATCAGGTGTGTCTTTAACATACTTCGAATCCACCTGGAAGAAAATCAGGTATTTGTGAGTCGTTAAAGTAAAGCGTGCATGCAAAATTTCAGCATTTCCTAAATACTAGCTGTGAATAGCATTAACTTGCGGTGATCATGTAACAGAGAAAAAGTGGCAATTAGAACATACTCTGTAGTTCAATGTGTGTGACGCTGTGACTGGTGATTGTGGTCTATGTAGTTATGTGTTAATCCAATATTTTAGCCGATTTCCAGTTTAAGGTCAAACCGGAGAATGGAGCTTATAGTTCCTGTATACTTGATGCATTAGTTCCAGATATTAATGGCATCAAATGCAAAGGAGATCAGCATTTATTAAGCAAGGTTTGTGCTTTCAGTTATTTACTTTACATCTTATCAATCCCCCTCCCCTCCTCATCTCGGTGTTTTGCTCGTGTTTTGTCCTACATTTCTGGGACTCTTAAAGAGGACAGTGGATATTATTGATAATTCAGTGAGATTAGTGACGATTCAACAGTAAAACTTCTTGGCATTGGTTTTTTAAAAAAAAAAGTGAGATCTGCTACTCTCATTCTTAAAGCACAGCTCCTACATAGACTCTACTTAAAGACAGTAAGTGTAAATCTGACGGGGTTGTGTAAGATTGACAGTAGACAGACATGTTTCAGGACACTGTTTGTTGACTTGACACTTACATGCATCTGCATCTGTCTTTTTTTCCCACAGAGGGTATGCAATGGAAGGATTTAAATAAAATCTCACTTCCAAGTGCGGCCACTTGATGAACCTCTTCTGTGGCTGTGAATCCAGTTGCTTGGAAAAATGGAAGAACTCCAGTCAGTTTGGTGAGCAAGTTTTAAAATTTATCTTTATATAATGTATATAAAATCACACACATGGTCATACCAATTATGTTTACAATTCCGTTTTCCCCCTCTTCTTTTTAGTCTAGCAGAGTTTGCATATGAACGCATATGCTAGATTCCTGTGGAAGATGCCTATGCCTAGGCAAGATGCCTTTGGTAAGATTTGATAATATATTGCATTGTAAGTTCAGTGATCTTACTTTTGAGATCAAACTTCAAAATGTATTCAGATTACATACTCCTTTTGAATTTTCTGTGATTTGTCAAACATCAATCGCTTTTCAATGATTTTCTTTTTCTTAAAGTGTCCCTATTATGCAGTTTTAAAGTTTCCCGATTTTGTTTTGGAGGTCTCCTACAGTAGGTTCACAAAAAAACACTTTAATTTTCTCATGATATACACTGCAGCATCACCTCTTTTCTCACAGTGTCTGAAACGGTTCGATAAAGAATTCAGTCTCTAAACCCCTTCTTTCTGAGAGTCTTCTCTGTTCTGATTGGTCAGATGGCCCAGACTGTTGTGATTCGGCACTTGATGCACTCCTCTGCACTTAATGCACACATTACACAATGATACGAACAGTAGTGATTGGGAGTCGACTCAAGCACATGAATCGACTCGTTGTCGACTCCATTGCGGTGTCTGAAATCACTTGTGTGTTCTGTCGCAGAAACATCAGTCACATAGTTTTATCCTACATGTAGCTTATTTACAACAAAATAACAGCCAATTGCGTTGTAATTGTATACATGCCTGCGTGCCAGCTTTGTGGTTTTATCAGTTTTATATCAATTTGGTTTGCCAATGGTATCCTAATTTGTTCATAATCATTAAAGTCCCACTCCGATCATATTTTTGAGCTATTTTTAAACATTCCCAGTGGTCTTTAAATTATGATTATGCCATTTTTAGCCAAAATCACAAAACCTGTGCCGTTTTCTGGGACTTCGCTTCAGCAGAGCGGCAGTAGCTCATTAGCAATTCGCCTCTGCGTTGTAGGCGGAGCCGTTGGCACGGAGACGACCAGGCGGGATTGTTCAACTAGCTCCCGACAGAAAAAAAAATAAACTTACCAGTAAAGACACAGGCTGTCCAGTTGATGGTGTCTTGATGGAAGGCACTGCAACCGGCTTCAAAAACAATTTACTGATGAAGCCCATTTTTTTCTCCTGCCAGTTGGTGAAACAGTCTTCTGTGAAGTGCTGGTCGCAAACCGGTGTGTGGTTTTTAACATTGCCGTGACCAAGGAACGTAATCCATCTATCTCTCACAGCAACATGTTTTGGTAAAGCATGAAAGCTAATACCACTATCTCTCCTCTTAGTATTGCAACCCACTACCGCACATAGGTGTTGATCCGCCATCGTCTTCTCTACTCCTCAGAACCTGAGCGGGCGGGGCGGAGGGGAGTATGAGCTTGTGGCCCCGCCCAGTGGAGTTACTACGTCATAACTCCAGTCTATTTAAAAAACGGCATTTTAGCGTCCGCTACTGATTCACAGCCATTTGAATGTAGAAATACTCAGAAATACAACTTTGAGCTTATTTTTCTCAAGATATGTCCTCTAATGGCGCTTTTCCACTGCATGGAACGGAACGGTTCGGTACGGCACGCTTTGGCGCTTTTCCACTGCATGGTACAGTACGGCTCGGTTCGGTACGGCTCACTTATGGCGCATTTCCACTGCATAGTCCGGTACGGTACGGCTCGCTTCGGCTACCTGGTACCTGCTCTGTTGAGGTTCCAAGCGTACCGTACCGATACTAAAATGTGACGTGAAAACACAACAGATCACTGATTGGTCAGAGAGACAGAATCGTCACTATCAGCGTCATTGTATTTGCGACACGAGACACTAAACCCACTAGATTTAAATAGCCAGTAGACAACAGCCACCGCTGTAGCACCTGTTTTAAAACTACTTGCTTGAAGAAAAAAGAAAGAAAGAAAACTTCCATAAAAAAGAAATGGCTGAATCGTGGTCAGTGGACGAAGTGCAGACGTTCGTCTCGTTGGTTGCCGAGGAGCGGATAAACTATAACCGTCCATCTATAATCCCACCCACTTTGAAGCGGTACTAACTGCAGTGGAAAAGCAAACCGAGCTAAAGCGAGCCGAGCCGTGCCAGCAGTGGAAAAGCGAAGCGAGCCGAACCGTGCCGCGCCAAGCCGAACCGTACCGAGCCGTACCAGCAAAAAAGAAAAAGCGCCATAACATAAGAAAAATGCCACAAGTACATGTTAACACCTAGAAAAACATTATTTTCATCGGAGTGGGTCTTTAAACTAATCAAAATACATTACATCTCATTATTACATTGCACATTATTGTATCCATTAGGGCTGTAGTCAACCAAAGAAATCCTTAGTCGACCAAAGTCTTGTCCTGCGCAACGATTAGTCGACTAAAAAAAAAAAAAAAAAAACGCGATGTTTTGATTGAACATTTTTTAACAATTGTCATAGAGCATTTATAAAACAACAACGAAAAAACATCAAAAATACATAAAACTATAATAATAATACAATTCTTTGAAAATTAAGTGATTTTTTTTTAACTGCAAAAAGTGAGGAGCTCTGTCCTAGGTCTATAGTGACAGTCACAATCGCGCACCTGACCACACCACACGCTACAAAAAATATAACTGCTATCTGCCACAATGAAAAATCCTAACAAAAGCTCTCGTTTATACAGGCTGTATATTCTTTACTTTCAAAGCTATAGGCTAACTTTTGTCCAGCCTATCTAGGCGTTTTAAAACAAACACACACAAAAACCCAAAGAGCCTAAAAAACAATCCTAATAATAATAGGTTTTATTGTAGGACCGCATATAGGTTTATTTTCGTTTTGTTACATTATTTAGGCTATTTTCAAATGCGTCAAGTGTACAAATAAAAACAAAAACATATCAAGAAAACACAATTTATTGAGTCAGCATGATAAAGCCGTTAAAGGGACTGCTCACGTCTTTTGCGGGCTCAAGTTCGATTTCAAATGTAGGCGCGCGGTGTGCGCTAATGATGGAAGCAACGGTCGCGGTGCGACGCGCTCTTTTTTTTCCAAGTGCGTCCACGCCGCATCGAGATACAAACATATAGTGTATAAAAACATAAAAACCGAAACAAGTAGCGTTCTAACTGAATGAATACAGCTAAACTACCTATATCCCTCACTGAGCACGAAGCAGCAGCGCAGCCACAGGTGCGAACCGTGTGTTCTATGTGTGTGCGCTAAACTGTGGCGCTGTTACAAAATAGCCTAAATTAAAGCATTTAAAGTTGGGGATAAACCATAGGCTAATTATATTTAGAATACAGTAATATTTAACTGCTTATAAAGGAATAAATATCAAGGAGTAAATCATTGAAAATTTCTTTCTATTGGTAAAAAAAATAAATGCAACTGGTCGACCAATAAGAATGTCAGTCGACCAAGACGGCATCGACCGATTAGTCGACTAAACGACTAAAGTTGACAGCCCTAGTATCCATTTAGACTACCGTATTTTCCGCACTATACGGCGCACCGGATTATAAGGCGCACCTTCAATGAATGACCTATTTTAGAACATTTTTCATATATAGGGCGCACCGGATTATAAGGCGCATAAGATACTGCAGTCAAACGTTTGACTGGGTTTGCGTTATGCATCCACTAGATGTCAACAAATGTCAACAAAACAGTCAGATAAAGTCAAACTTTATTAAGCTTTCTGACAACTCCGTTCACTCCCATGGTAACGTTGTTCAAACGTTATAGGAAAACTCCGGTCAATTTTAACATTGAGCTCATTTTTTTTGTAAATTTGGAGTGTTGTCAGTACAGATAACAACGACAAAAACCGGTGTTGCCTACACCGTGTTATCCTCTTTTTAAAATTTGCACCCTGTTGACTTAAACGGGGCAAGTTTTAAACCTGCTTTTAGCCTCTTAACAACCTTAATGTGTCATTACAAGTGCACAGCCATGTGAGTGAACACGGTGAATCTGACTCCAGTAAATGTGAAAGATATGAATAAAAATTATGTTTATTCAGCCAGCTCACATACCCGTATTTTCTTCCTGTGTTCGGTCGAAGTCCACAGTAGGCGATTGTCGAGTGCGCGCGCGCGATCATTGGTAACTAAGCAACAGTGGAGACTCAGACTGTCAGCCGATGACGGTGCTGTGTGGTGTTCTGAGAATATCAGCTCAAATGGATAGTTCGGATAGTTCATCCGAATCAGATGTTGAACACACGGAGGAGGTTTGATCGCGCGCGCGCGAACTCGACAATCAACTACTGTGGACTTCGGCCGAAAACAGGAAGTAAATACGGGTATGTGAGCTGGCTGAATAAAGAGATTATTCCTGCCTTCGTGAAAGCTCGGATCACAGTTGAGACTGATATATCAGCCCAGGCATCCACGATCCATTGGCAGATAGTGGCGTAAGTCGCCCGGCGCTGTCTCCCCGTCTTGGTCAACGTGTGTTCCCCATCCATATATAAGGCGCTCCGCATTATAAGGCGCACTGTCGTTTTTTGAGAAAATTAAAGGCTTTTAAGTGCGCCTTATAGTGCGGAAAATACGGTAGATATTATTTTTAGTATCTTGAACTTTCCTGTCCAAGCAGCTTTTTTGCACTATAAGATATGACAATACGCGTATCACCAACCAACCGTTTATATGAATTCGTTAAAAAAATTACATTACCTTCTCTCGTTAATGTAACTGAAATAATATTTGACCAAGGCAGCAACTAGGAAACAATGGTGACATCATTTCAAGGTAATGCCACCTCTAAACTGGGCTAATTTGGCCAGCCACGATAAAAGTGTGTTGTTTTCATTAAGGTATTTTTAGGCTTTGTGTCAGGGGGAAAAAATAGCCTACGTTTAGTGTGTAATGACGGCAATCTTGTATTCTTATTACAGACTCGGTTTTGACTTCAAGCAAATTAAGTTGATTCCGAGAGCAATGTGGGAATCTGAGTTGACTCCGAAAACCCCCGGAATCGAACACCCCTAACGAACAGTAATGTTGGTTTTTCGCAGCGCTGAAAACCGCAGCATCTCGACATGTCAACGACGCAAACTCTTCCAGGGCTCAGCTACAACTACAGTGTTTGAGGGTCAAAGTAGACATTGTTTGCGGGCAGCCAATGAAGACCATAGGCTGGCATTATGCAAATTTGTTAAAAACCTATGTAGGTTCATGCAGGAAGTAAGACTGGAATTACTGACGGCTTGTTACAGGCAGAGACAAACTGGATGAGGTGTTAGTGAGGCCAGCAGGGGGTGCTCACCATGTGGTCTGTGAGTCCTAACACCCCAGTATAGTGAAGGGGACACTAAACTGTCAAAGAGCACCATCTATCGGATGAGACGTTAAATCTCAGGATGTCCTTTGAAAAAAAGTGTATGGGTTTAACCCTGGTTTCCTGGTCAGATTTGCTTATTGGCCTCTGTACATCATCATGGCCTCCTAATCATCCCCATATATCCACCTTTTTCCTGAACTCCGTAGTCTCGCCCGACTCCTAGCAGAATTTCCAGTCTACGGTGAATCTAGTCAAATGAGTGCATTTTCCGAGCTGATGAAACATTATGTAAACCATTTTCATAACGTTAAACTTGTGAAGATGGTTTTAAAAATCACATGTCTCCATAGTACCATCACTTTACAGTACCTCACCTATCAAAGTTTAATGAGTGAACATGAACATGAAGTAGCCCTAAGATAGCGATGCGAAAACAGATTGGTGCTCATATCCTACATGTAGCTCCCACTCGAGGTGAAGTTCGAGGGGGATTTTGTCCTCAAAATAAGAGCGCACATATACCTTTTATTGGGGAGCATTTTAACTTAAGTGCTGCAAGCCATGCTCGTTTAAGCCGTGCTTAAAATGCAAAGCATATGACACTGTATACAGACATTCTTTCCAGATTTGCTGGTGCTCAAAACGTGTACTTTCTAGGAATTTCTTCCGTTTATTGCGTTGTTGTGGCAGTCAACAACCGCACAGTTTAACCCTGTGACCATTTTTAGTAATGTTCAAAAAGTTTAATTCAATCGCTCCTTTTTACTCCTTTTAAATAATGGGGTCCTATGGAGACCGGAACAGGACAGCATCCAAACGAAAGTTAGAATCCATCATGACGGCGCTCATCGTTTGCTCAGGAAAAATGTGGATACTGATTGGCTTCATCACTCTGTCTCCTCTACACCAGTAAGCTGGTGTGTGGTGGTGGGCGTTCTGACACAATATGGTTGCCGTCACATCATCCAGGTGATGCTGCACATTGGTGCCCCCCCCCCCCCACCTTCCATGTGAAGCGCTTTTAAGTGCAGAGAAAAGCGCTATATAAATGTAACGAATTATTATTACATGAAAGGTAACATCTTAAAAAAAGCATAATGGGGGCACTTGAAGTTAACAGATAAACTGTTTCTACTTTTGTAGTGCATTTTCCCCCTTATCTCTTCTGTGTTTAAATCTGTTATGCTCTCTTAACTTAGAAATGTCTGGTCATGTTATCTTTACAGGCCTGGTGCCAAGATGATGCCATGATAATAGTACCTGGAGGGCGGCTTCATCTGATCCTTCGACTGCAGTCGAATCAAATGCAAACAGCGATTTGAATCATTGTGCATGTGCATATGAGCAGGAATGAACCTGGTATTGAATGTCTGATATGAATTCAACAATAAAAAATATTAACTGGATAACTGAGTCTGTTTGAATACAACAGTTTTATTTATATATATATATATATATATATATATTGGAAATCAGCTGTGCAATGAGAAACATTTACCTAGCTTTAAACTAAGTGTATGAATGATTAACTTCTATATAGCTGATAAGCACAAATGCATGTTAGTGCAGTGGTGTGGTAGTGCCACGAAGAGTGACCTTGGTGACCGTGGAGCGATTGTATCACTGTTGCCAGGCAACGCGCTGATGATGGAGGACCATTACGACGTTCTCGGGTGTCAAGTCAAAGAGCCCAGCGTTAGCTGTGAGCTGCTATCCAGTCAGATAAACAACCACGGCCATCTCATGAGGGACGGCTCTGACCACCAAACAGACTGAAGACATTCACCACTCGACTTGAGCCTTCAAGCTAACACTAACGTCAATTAAAAATACTAGAGACTTGCAAAACATGCACGAAAATAATGTAGCAAGCTAACTTTAGCCAACTGCCTAGCGCGAAACTGCTCAGATATGGACTGTGAAGGGTAAGTGTGTTGTAACGGCAAAAAAGAGATGCATTTTATTAAATGTTTTTGGTGAAGAGGAAACCGACGAGATTTGTAACCGATAAAGTTGTTATTTGTACCGTGAAACGAACTGGAGAACGCGTTTTGTTTGCTGTTACCACTATTTGTAGCAGCTAAATAGCTAGCGTTATGTTGTGCATTCACTTAACATCTCTTCTGCGAATTCAGCAGCGAACGTTTTAACATGATACTTCATGTTTAAGTTTCATATATGAGAATTGAATTAAACATCTTCGTAAACCTGTGATATATTGTTGTGCCAGCAGTTGACGAGACATTCAAACTAATCTCGAGCTAATCGTCTCGTACACTTGATTCTCGATGCACTGATGTGGTCAATATCTTTTACCATCCCATATCATCAAAATGGTACTGTAGGTGCAGAACTGTGCAGTGAAGCTGTCATACGAAACTAGTAAAAGTTAGTTTGTGAGCAAATGATCCGTTATTTTAGAGTTTAATGGTGGTAGAGCATTAGTGTAATTAACACAAACATATTAGTTGCAGAGATATTTTTGTTTCATTTATTAGATATGGAGTCCCTTGTCCTCTGCCTAGTTTGGATTCGCAGGAGGATGCCAAAGACCCAGGGTTGCACACCATCAGCCACACACACATGAGGAAAGCCTTTCGTCTTATGAATGATTTGAGAAGGTTGGTAAACCTACTCAGCACCTCATGTTATTTAGTTAACCACCATAGTCATTGATGGGGAGATTTTCAATCAGAGGTTAAAGGGTTAGTTTACCCAAAAAATAAAATGATCCCATCATTTACTCACCCTCAAGCCACCCTAGGTGTATATGACTTTCTTCTTTCAGCCAAACACAATTGGAGTTATATTAAAAAATATCCCAGCTTCCAAACTCTTCGGCCGGAACTAGACTCGTTACCGGAAGCCAGTGATTCTAGTTTATAAAGTTATAAATATGGACATTTCTCTTACAAAAATGCTTCGCTTTGCTTTAGAAGCCCTTTATTAACACACTGGAGCTGTATGAATTACTTTTATGAAGGATGGATGTGCTTATTTGGGCTTCAAAATCTAGGGTACCATTCACTCTGAAGCTCGAAAGAGCCAGGACATTTTTTTTATATAACTCTGATTGTGTTTGGCTGAAAGAAGAAATTCATATACACATAGACAGGATGGCTTGATGGTGAGTAAATTATGGGATAATTTTCATTTTTAGGTGAACAAACCCTTTAACTTGTATGGATGGATTCTTAACATCAAGTTTGGTTCCTCACTAAATCATACATTTGGTTATGGTCTTGAAGTTGTCTGTTTTTTTGTTTTGTTTTTATTGACACAAAATGTAACTATATTATCCTATATTATCACCCAGCTTTTTATATAAAGTTGGATATAGGCTACATATGCCCCAACTTTATCCTGATACATTGGCCTACAGTATACACTCGTATGCCTACTATATGGCATATTTCAACTGCTTCATTGCTTGTATCATCGCAAAATGTAAACTATATCATCGCCCAGCTCTAATCTGCTAAATGTGACTATGAGGCATTAACATATTCTGTAACGCTGCTTTAAAACATTTTGTATTGTGAAAAGTGCTTAATCTGACTAAGAGTTAATTATCGATTGCGTATGCTGCATGTCCACAAGACCAAGTAGATCGTAAAGACCTTTTCGATGATGTTTTATTAACAAAGTTCGGGAGGAGCACGTTCAGTTAATTAACACGAGTGGAATGCACCCAGCAATCAATTATAAGAGGTATATATAGATTCAGCAATCTCACCTCACTCCATTGATAGTTTAGCAGCATCCCTCCACCGCCCCTTCTCCACACTTCTAGTCCTAAACACTTACATAGGGGGAGTACTCTGGATTCGGGCCAAACTCCGAGCTCGGAGCCCTCCCCCGGACAGCACGCCAAATGCGCATTAAATCTTATCCACTCTAATTATTAGTGGTATAAGTGTGAACTCGTGAACCTATGTTGGCTAGGCTTATGATATATTTGGGAGAAACAGCCCTGGTCTAGATCCTCAGTTTCTTTTATTTTCTTTATAATCACAGTAGGAGGATGCTTTGTGACGTTCTGCTGGTGGCGGGTGAAGTGGAGGTACCAGCACACAGAGTAGTGTTAGCGTCCTGCAGTCCTTACTTCTGCGCCATGTTCACAGGTACTCTACATATACACATCCTAATGCTTTTCTTACATTCATGGGAGCAACATGTCCCACGCTGCACACGGATGTTCTCCAAAACTTAGCAATGTAGGATCTATGATTATGATTTAGGAATTAAAAAAATACTCACCCTCATGTCATTTCAAAACTGGAAAACACAAAAGATACTTTGAAGAATGTTGGTAACCAAAAGTTTTGATGCCCATGGACTTCTTTTATGTCCCACAGAAGAAAGAAAGTCAAACAGGTTTGGAATAACATTGAGGGTGAATAAAGGATGATCATTTTAATTTTTGGGTGAACTAACCCTTTATTGAAGACTGACTGAATTGTTTACAAGGTATTTGAAGCTATATGAGTGACATTAGGTGATATAAAGTGTCCCTGCTGATTATTCTGCATAAAAACATTATGATGTTCATTCTTGCTTATTTAAGTCTCATTTTCAACAGTTATTTTTTTAGATCTTTGATTGAGAGTTTTCTGGATCTGTATGTATAATGCTCCTGCTCTCTGATTCTGTATCGTGATTGACGTGTCCAGGTGACATGAGTGAAAGCAAGGCTCACCATGTCGAGATCAGGGATGTTGATGGACAGACGCTCTTGAAGCTGGTGGATTATATTTACACCGCTGAGATCGAAGTGTCTGAGGATAACGTTCAGGTAAGTCAAGGCACATGAATGTACTGTACTGTAGCTCTTTGTGTAAAGGCTGATTTCATTCTCTGCCACTGGTTCTCTGGTGCTTGTGGCTCTGTTGTGAGTGCTGAGAGGCAGGGCATTTCCTCTCATTATTAGAAGAGGAAATGAGCAGAGAGGGAGAGGAAGTTTTCTGTGATGTGCACTTTGCCCTTTGTGTTGGAGCTCTATTGTCCCAGTATATTCTGTTGTTTGTGTCTGGGCCTTTTGTTTAGATGTACAGAATACAGCAGAGGAGAATAGATGATCTGAGAAGCTTCATGCCAGTTGTGCTGGAGCAGTGTGAAGTGACCTAGTTTTTGGAGAGGATGGGCAGATGCTCCAGTGTTAAATTTCCCTATAAGCCATTTCTAGGAAGAAAGTGGCCATTGAATTAGAAAAGAGCATCTGCACATTGTAACTCTGTCTTGTTCTTCCCTGTGGCCGTTGCTTTTGTTAAGTAGCTGATGCTGGGTTCAATTAATTTATTTTCATTGTTCACCACCATTTTAATTCATATAATTCATTCAGTATATAATTAGATGTGGAGTCACCAGCTTACATTCTTTTGCAATGATTTACTAATAATTAAAGCTCTGTTAGAATACCTTTTTGAACAAATGTAATTAATTTCAATAGCAGTTGTTTAAAGAATCGTTGCTGAAAAGAGAGAGAGAGAGAGATAATGGTACAGATACAAACTATAAGTAGTAGTGGCTCTGTTTAGTATGTACACTACTGTCCAAAAGTTTGGGTCAGTAAGATTTCATTTTATTTTCAAGTTAATATTTTTATTCAGCAATGATGCATTAAATTGATCAAAAGTGATAGTAAAGACATAATGTTACAACAGATTTTAATTAATCCTTTTGGACTTTTTATTAATCAAAGAATCCTAAAAAAAATGTAAGCAGCACAACTGTTTTCAACATTGATAATAATAAAAAAAAATGTTTCTTGAGCAGCAGATCAGTATATTAGAAAGATCTCTGAAGTAATGATGCTGAATATTCAGCTTTTCCATCACAGGAATAAATTACATTTGACAATTTATTCAAATAGAAAACAGTTATTTTAAATTGTTATAATATTTCACAAGATTACTGTTTTCACTGTATTTAGAACAAATAAAGGCTGCCTTAGTGACCACAAGATACTTCTTTCAAAAACAACAACAAAAATTATTTTTTGAATGATGGTATATGTATATTATAACATTTCAAGTAATGCACAACGCTTTTGCTATGTTAGTTAAAAGACTAGTCATCATTAGTGAATCAGAATCAGGATGCACTTTACTTGCCAGGTGTTCAGAAGCACACAAGGGATTTGTTATGTTTTACTGGAGCTCTAGGTACTTGCATACAATCTATCAGTGGCATGCATTTGTGTTCTAAAATGAGGAAGCAAAGTCCTCACAGTTTAAAAAAAAAATGTTTGTTTTTTATTTATGCACAGTATATATGCATTCTGATTCTAAGGGAGAAATGGCTCTTCTTATGACTCTAAAAATACCACACCAACAGTGAAGTTTGGAAGTGGAATGGTATGGGGCTGTTTCTCTTCTAATGGTACTGGTAGAATCCATATTATTAAAGGGGAAATGAATGGAGCCATGTACCGGGAAATTCTTGAGATGAGTCTGTTGCCATCCACCAGGATGATGAGGATGAGAGACGGGTGGATCTTCCTGCAGAACAACGATCCAAAACTTACTGCAAAGAAGACTCTGAATTTGGTTCCAGAGAAAGAAAATAAAGTTGTTGGAATGGCCCAGTCAACCACCAGACTTAAACCCAACAGAGCATTTGTGGAAGGAACTGAAGATCAAGAATCACAAGAGAACCCACCAGAATATTCAAGATTTAAAGTCTGTTTAGAAGATTGGACCAAAATCCCACCTGAGCACTGTGAGCGATTCATTTGTTCATACAGGAAGCATCTTGAAGCTGACATTGCAAATAAAGGCTTTTCCACCAAGTATTCAATACAATTTCAGTTAGCGTGTTCAATACTTTTTTCCTGCCCTTTTACTTTATTACACATAACCTGTTTTTTGTGTTATTCCTGCGGTGTTCAGGTGTTACTCCCAGCTGCCAGCCTGATGCAGTTGATGGATGTTCGGCAGCTTTGCTGTGACTTCCTGCAGACACAGCTCCATTCCACCAACTGCCTGGGCATCCGAGCATTCGCTGACCTTCACGCCTGCACAGGACTGCTCAACCAGGCCCACGCTTATGCCGGTGAGCTCTCTTCTTTCTTGAGTCATTGTGGGATGGCTAACAGCTAGTCGAGTAAGCAACCCACCAATATGTACTTTTATGCTAAGATCCATTTTTTAAGCATGTTTGCTTGTTTCAAACAGAGCAGCACTTCACAGATGTCATGGGCGGTGAGGAGTTCATGGCCCTCTCCTTGCAGCAGGTGTGCAGTCTGATCTCCAGTGACAAACTGACTGTGTCCACTGAAGAGAAGGTAACGCATTACCCAGCTCATTTACCTTGTTGTTGTTTTTTCTAACTGTTGTCATCTGCATATTGTGCTTCTCAATTTCAATGTTTCGTCACATCACAGAGCCTGTTTTTAGCTCAGCCGTGCATGATTTGTAGACAGCAGACAGTTGATGGTTGGTTTTTACACGTATACATGCTGGTGTGTGACGCTGTAGGAGACGGCCAGCCATCTGTCATTCACACTGCATTAGCTGCTCTCTGCTTACGAGTAACTTGCGTCTCCAGTCTGCGCTCACACACACCCACTTGATGGCAGCTGTCATCTGTCAGATGCCTCAGTGTCACTGCTGTGGCTGTGAGTTGCAATCATACAATATGCAAAGAAACATATAGTTCTGGTCTATTACACCCCCAGGTTTTTGAGGCCATGATCGCCTGGATAAAGCACGATAAAGAGGCCCGTTTGGAGCACATGCCTAAGCTCATGGAACATGTTCGACTGCCCTTGCTATCCAGAGATTACCTGGTTCAGGTATGACTGCTGACAGTTTTTATAGCGTGCTCTCTATATTTGTTGTGATTGCCTTTCTGGTTTTCTTCAAGCATTATTTTTAGGATCGAAATGTGTACTTGTACAGATTGTAGAGGAGGAACCCTTAATAAAAAACAACAACACTTGTAAGGACTTTCTCATTGAGGCGATGAAGTACCACCTTTTACCTGCAGACCAGCGGCACCTTATAAAGACTGACAGAACCAGACCGCGCACACCAGTCAGTCTGCCCAAGGTATTAATATATTGCAACACAAAGATTCACTTCAAACATACAGTACCAGGCAAGTTCGGATGTACTTAGTTCTTTATTATCTCTGCTAACCACAAGCAAGCTTGAGGCTGTTCTGGTTATTCTGTATATATTCTAAGATGCTGCACTCGTAATTACAATGAATGAGAAAAAAGTGCAACACACAATATGATAGAATACGTCCTGCTTTCTAAATAAAAGAGCCAATCGGTAAAGTCATGATGAAACAGTCATTGTCCTGAGAATTTCCTCTTATGACTGCACATGACCCCATTCAAGTAGATAGGAGTTGTTGGAAATATGGACTGATGAACTGACTTTCCTTTGGCAGACTCATTGAAAATAACCAGCTCGAGTCATGGTTTGTGTTGGTGTTCATTTTATCAGCTATTTTTAAATTTAGTCTTAGTCCTGTGTCAAATGTACTTTTTAGTTATCATAATATTTAATTAACCTTGTCCTGTTTTTGTTTAGTCAGGTTTTGGTCTTTTAGTCACATTTTCATGATTCTGAAGCTGAAAATACAGTTATTTTAGACGAACATGCTTTCACTCTGAGTCTGATTAGATATATTTAAAATAATGTAGGCCACTTTACTGGTATAACATCAGACATTTGGCATTATCAGGACCCACAAATATTTTCCCATTGCAGTAGTATACATTAGATTCAACATTATATAGTAGTTTAATGTAGTACTGACACTAAAACTCTGTAAACTTGATTTTTTTCCTCACACAGTAATTTTAATTTTGGGTGAACTATACACAATACATATTGTCACTATCCACGATACATACTGATGCATTTTTGTATTGCGATATATTGTGACGATATATTGTTACACCCCTACCCGTAGGGGCTTGTTGAAAACAATCTGTAATATTTTGTCTCCGTTGTTTTAATCGGCAAAAACAAATAGAGAGTTTGGGATGGTTTTTTTTCCCCCTCTACATTTTAGTCTCATCTTTTTGTTTAACGATATTCCATGTTGATATACACTCACCTATAGGATTATTAGGAACACCTGTTCAGTTTCTCATTAATGCAATTATCTAATCAACCAATCACATGGCAGTTGCTTCAATGCATTTAGGGGTGTGGTCCTGGCCAAGACAATCTCCTGAACTCCAAACTGAATGTCAGAATGGGAAAGAAAGGTGATTTAAGCAATTTTGAGCGTGGCATGGTTGTTGGTGCCAGACGGGCCGGTCTGAGTATTTCACAATCTGCTCAGTTACTGGGATTTTCACACACAACCATTTCTAGGGTTTACAAAGAATGTTGTGAAAAGGGAAAAACATCCAGTATGCGGCAGTCCTGTGGGCGAAAATGCCTTGTTGATGTTAGAGGTCAGAGGAGAATGGGCCGACTGATTCAAGCTGATAGAAGAGCAACTTTGACTGAAATAACCACTCGTTACAACCGAGGTATGCAGCAAAGCATTTGTGAAGCCACAAAACGCACAACCTTGAGGCGGATGGGCTACAACAGCAGAAGACCCCACCGGGTACCACTCATCTCCACTACAAATAGGAAAAAGAGGCTACAATTTGCAAGAGCTCACCAAAAGTAGACAGTTGAAGACTGGAAAAATGTTGCCTGGTCTGATGAGTCTCAATTTCTGTTGAGACATTCAGATGGTAGAGTCAGATTTTGGCGTAAACAGAATGAGAACATGGATCCATCATGCCTTGTTACCACTGTGCAGGCTGGTGGTGGTGGTGTAATGGTGTGGGGGATGTTTTCTTGGCACACTTTAGGCCCCTTAGTGCCAATTGGGCATCGTTTAAATGCCACGGCCTACCTGAGCATTGTTTCTGACCATGTCCATCCCTTTATGGCCACCATGTACCCATCCTCTGATGGCTACTTCCAGCAGGATAATGCACCATGTCACAAAGCTCGAATCATTTCAAATTGGTTTCTTGAACATGACAATGAGTTCACTGTACTAAAATGGCCCCCACAGTCACCAGATCTCAACCCAATAGAGCATCTTTGGGATGTGGTGGAACGGGAGCTTCGTGCCCTGGATGTACATCCCACAAATCTCCATCAACTGCAAGATGCTATCCTATCAATATGGGTCAACATTTCTAAAGAATGCTTTCAGCACCTTGTTGAATCAATGCCTGGTAGAATTAAGGCAGTTCTGAAGGCAAAAGGGGGTTAAACACAGTATTAGTATGGTGTTCCTAATAATCCTTTAGGTGAGTGTAGTCACAGTCTTCGTTTGATGACATTGGTGTTGTCTTGTCTTCATCTTATTCATAGAAAAAAAAGTTGTTGAAGATTTTTCATCATAGATTTAGTTAACGAAATGAACACTAGTTTGTGTACTGATCTAACTTCACATTCAGGGGTTGAAATGAACTCACCAACAAATTTGGCTACTACATTTTTAAGTCACCGGCCATTCAGAACTACTAGCCAAAAGAAAATCATCAGAAGTAAACCAGATTATCAAAATCACGGCTTCGATTTAAATAAATATTTTTTAGTAAATCTGATTCTGAATCATTTAATGTCTTTTACCTTTACAATAGTCAATCATTGTTTGCGGATACCATAAAAATAACATCTCACCGGTATCGCACATCGGACTTGCCATTCTGTGCCCGTGTTCTCAAGTTCAAGGCGGCAGTCCAAAACAATTAATCATATCACTAAAGTTCACTTTAAGAATTAAAATGGTAAGATTTTCAATGTCATCTGTGAAATCACAAATCAATATATTGAACCAGATGAGTTTTTAATTGTGTTTGGGGTTTCAAGACATGTTGTCCAAGTCTCAACAACAATTTCTTTCCTATGGGCTTTTAACAGCCAAAAAGCTTATTTTAAATTTCTGAAAAAGCGAATTGCGAATAGGAGTTCTAGTAGTTTTGTTTTAAAAGTTTCGGTATGCTGAAATATAAGCATATGTTTGTGTGTAGGTGGCATGTACATGTATAGGCATGTTAATGAATATGTATATGTGTACAATTGTATGTATAGGCTACATATATATATATATATATATATATATATATATATATATACATATATATATATATATATATATATATATATATATATAATTAATAACTGCAGAAGGAACTATACTATCCTGTTAGATTTTTGTAAGTATAAGGAAAAGACGGAGGATCTTTGGATATATTTTCTGTGAAGCTTATTTGTACTTTCTATATTTCTCCAATAAAAAAATAAAATAAAAAAAAGAATGAAAATGGTGATAATGAGATGAGACTACATTTTACATTTTTATTTTTTATGCACTTTTGACCATCTTAGTCAGTCTGAAGCCCTTGATGAATGTGACTTTCTTGTGAAGGTAGTGAGATAGATGGATTGATTTTTGTTGTGAATCTTTCAGGTGATGATGGTCGTAGGGGGTCAGGCACCTAAAGCCATCCGCAGTGTGGAGTGCTATGACTTTCAAGAGGACCGCTGGTACCAGGTGGCTGACTTACCCTCCAGACGCTGTCGAGCAGGTTGCTCTCTGTTCTGCTCCTCATCTCTCGATGTGTGCTCTTCTCTTGGTCTCACTCTCTGTCTGTGTGTCTCATTTAGGTGTGGTGTATATGGCCGGTAAGGTGTATGCTGTGGGGGGGTTTAACGGCTCTCTGCGTGTCCGGACGGTGGATGTGTATGATGGGCTGAAGGATCAGTGGAGCTCCGTCCCCAGCATGCAGGAGCGCCGCAGCACTTTAGGAGCGGCTGTACTGGGGGACCTGCTGTATGCTGTCGGGGGCTTTGATGGGAGTACAGGTATATCTTTGAAAAATCTATCTCAGGATTATTCATACACTACTATTATTAGTATGATTTTTATTTATTTATTTCTTTTTAAAGAAATAAATAAATTATTTTATTCAGCAAGGAGGCAAAAGTGACGGTAAAGACATTTATAATCATACAAAAGATCTCTATTTCAAATATTATCCATATATATTAGACTGCAATTTCCACAAAAAATATTAAGTGGCACAACTGTTTTCAACATTGATAGTTGTAAAAATAAAAAAGCAGCAAATTAGCATATTAGAAAAATTTCCAAATGATCATGGGGTGCTGAAGACTGGAGCTTTGTCATCACAGAAATAAATTACATTATATTAAAATAAAACAAATTATTGTAAAATGTATTATTTTACAATATGACTATTTTTACTGTATTGTTGATCAAATAAATGCAGCCTTGATGAGCATAAGAGACTTCTTTTGAATGGTAGTGTATTTTTTATTATTTCTACTATATATTTTTTTACATTTTGGGCGGTTGTCGTTAACATGACTTAGCACATGCACAACCAGCCTCATTTGTATCCCTGTTTCGTTGACGCTTTGACTGGCTGATGAATGTATCTGTCTCTCTGCAGGTCTGTCGTCAGTGGAGGTGTATAACCCCAAGGCTAATGAGTGGATGTTTGTGGCTCCCATGAACACCAGGCGTAGCAGTGTTGGTGTGGGCGTAGTTGACGGTGAGCATTTTGAGTATTGAGCAATCTGCTCACCGTTACTGAGGCATGCAACAATAAAATGTTTTAAGTGGCATGATTTTGCAAAGAACATTTTACCTTTAGGGTGTTGTTGTCACATATTTAAACTGTGTAACTGTGATAGTTCATTTTTTACACAATGTGTCTGATGATTGTACAGGAAAGCTTTATGCGGTTGGAGGTTATGATGGAGCGTCTCGGCAGTGTTTGAGTACTGTAGAGGAGTTTAACCCAGTCAGTAATAAGTGGTGCTATGTGGCGGACATGAGCACTAGACGCAGTGGAGCTGGTTAGTTCCTCTTTGGACATGATTTTAAAAACATTGGGCTCACTTCTATTGATTTTTACAGTTGGCATCTCCATGTATTCACTGGCTGTGATGTGATTGTGTTTGTGTGCACAGGTGTTGGAGTGCTCAATGGACAGCTGTATGCTGCAGGTGGACATGATGGTCCTTTGGTGAGGAAGAGTGTGGAGGTTTATGACCCTGCCTCTAACACCTGGAGCCAGGTGTGTGACATGAACATGTGCCGGAGAAATGCAGGTGAGTAACCGGAAAAGAGACAGCAGCATTGTAATTTTGCTGTGTAAATGCTGCTATGAGATTGATGTTTTAAATAATTATTTCAATATACAAATATGAAATGTTGGAAAAATGGACACGCTACTGTACATGATATTCAAACATTTCAAAGTCATATGTTATCACTACACTTACCGGTACTTTTTTTTTTATTCTTTGAAATGACAAATTATACATGAGTGTACATTGTACAGTTATGATTTTTTTCTTTAACAACTCTCTAACAAGGATGTAGTTATTTTGATATTTTGTTGTCACTTACATTTGTTGTCTGTTTATAGTGTGAATAGTTTGTGCATGCATATTGATGTTTATCAACAAAATTCACTCCTAAAATGTGAGATATAGGAAAGAGGCTAAATCGTCTCCCCCACTTATAACACAGTTAGTTATTCTTTCAAAACCTGATTTCATGCTTTCATAACAGTTTTACACATTTTCAGCCCACTTTATCATTGTCTCCAAACACAAGATTATTGTAATATGTAATGAGAACATTAGGTTTAACCCCTGAACTGTATGATCATCTTTCAATTTTGCACTTTTAACAATCAGTTCATTCAATAGCAAACAATGCAAGAAACATGTTTTAACATCACCCTTGTTACTGGATTAATTACAGTGATACTGGATTTCTGTAACTTATGTAATTGACATAAAATCCATAATGTTTGTAATGGTATCCATCCAGTGTGTTATCAAAAGGTGTGATGAAGTATGACACGGCCATGAGGTAAACAAACCGCCGGAAACAAACACGCTCGGGCTCGGACCGCAGCAAACGAGCCCAGTGTAAAAGCCCCCTTAATGTTCTCACTCGACCATATGACTGAATTTATACTTTATCGCTTATAATGTAAAAAGAATTCATCAAATGGTTATCTCTATCAGAAATAGGCTATATATTTCTCTAGATATAGATATATAGGTGTACCAAATGATTCATTGATTAACCTTTAAGATCAGCTGGATTAAATAATAGACAAATGTATTTAACTGAATGAGATGCAAATGAAAAGTTTGATAGTAAGGACATTATGAAAGTCAGTTATGGTGAATAAAACGTTTAGATGAAACATTTATTTTGTGTAGTGAAAAGGTTACTGTGTGATTTTGTGTATTGTACTAACACAATTGAAAATATGCTGAAATGTTTGAGAAAAAAAAGTGCACTTTTGAGATATTAGCACTGAGTTTTAGTCGAAATTTTTTATTTAATAAGTTTAGTAGTTTTTACACATTTTCAAATGTGGGGTCCTATACCAGAAATCTCTTTCGGGTCAACAAATGTTTTATAAGGGCTGAAGCAACTGAAGAAAATGGTTTTACATTTTTCCTGTAGTGAATGTTAAAAAAACATTTCAAGACCATTGAAATGATTGTTGTTTTTTTAAAGGAAGAGCAGGAAAGGCCTGCAGTTCTGAGTTGCGTCTGTTTGTCTCTAGGAGTGTGTGCCATAAACGGTTTACTGTATGTGATCGGAGGAGACGACGGGTCGTGCAACCTTTCCTCTGTAGAATACTACGACCCTGCTGCTGATAAATGGAGTCTCATCCCCACCAACATGAGCAATGGCCGCAGCTACGCAGGTCTGTTTCACTCTTACAACCTCCATATACAACTAATCTAACCTAAACCACTGTCTCTTGTCTATTTCAGGGGTGTCAGTTATTGACAAGTCATTATGACTAAAAGTCCTGGGCAGCAGGCCTCTTCACACCCGCCGAGGACTGAGCTGTGACAGACAGACAGTGATTTAATGCAGAATCCAGATGCTGACAGGTGCTTGAAGCTCTCAAAGCCTGACTGCCTCACACACACACACACACACACACACTGACTCCTGACCTCTTCCAGTCTCCAGAAAGTGCCATTTAGCTCTGTTATTAACAGAGAGGTCACATGATCGCCCCATACTGTGGGTAATGAGACCTCGTTTATACAGGCCTGACTGGACTGAATCTGCGTGTAAGGGACGACCTCAGGATACGCCCTGTGCGGACCGACTGCTGTGGGGATCTGGCTGTAGTCTATGTGCAGGTGAAGAATGTGCCAATAGAGGCTTCTCTGCCTGCTTTACTACTGACTTACAACGCTCTGAACTATGAGACTCGCATAAGATGTCACTGATTCTACAGGCTAACACTAATGCTTATGACACCCTTTAAACTGGATCAGGACTGGATATCACTGACTTCTGTTGTTTTGGTTACAGGGTTACTTAATGTTTCATGTTTGTATGAAAAGTAATATGGGAACAAGCCCATAAGTTGTTTTAACCAGCTGCTTTCGTGCCATATAGTATTGAGGATGTTAAACTGCTAAACAGAAACCATATAAATCTCACAGGGACAAGGTGCGGTCACATTAGCGTCATTTCTGCAGAATATCACGTACTGTAGGGATGTATGAAGCACAGCTCACACACTTCCAAAACCAAGCAGGTTACGGCTACAAAATCTGCTTGGAGAAATCTTTTGCCCTCATAAAATTCCAGATGGCGTGGATTCCTATTGAAATGGCTGGAATTTTCCCGTGAAAGTTTGCAGAACAACAAAGTGACCGCCAAATGTAATTCATAATCATATGGATTATACTGTATGTTAGTTACTTGTACATAAGCTTCTTGTTTTTCATGATGCAGTTTGGTGTGCAATCGTCCATGTTGGACACACAGACTCCTATATAGATGCGGTCACTGAAATATCACTGGCTTGGTGTCTCTTTGGTAAAACTGCACTGTTCATCTTAATCAGTACTCAGTAGAGTTCTATTTCAGTCGCAGGTAAATACCAAGACAGCAAATAGTTTTGAAAGTACAGCATTGATCCTGTTCTACCCTGACATGGGCTGCTGGTTCACTGGGTATTTTGGATCTGTGATTCAACACAATTGGCCATTTTTTGAAGACTGTTTTATTTTATTTTAAAAATATTAAGTCTTCTAATGTTTTTTTCCCTCATTATTGAGTTGCAGGCTCTATAATGCTTCACTGTTTACAATACTGATCATTGTAAAATGAAAATGAATTTTGTTTGTAATGATAAAGAAGTAACAAAACTGACTGCCCACATAACCAGCTCACACATCACAGATTTTCACAGCAACCTACTTTTTTATTTTATTTGGATATATATTGATATGAAAGTCATACTATGCATTAAAACATTGCTTATAATGTTTTTGTTGTTCCCAGTGGTTCAGAGCTTATTTTGTGCTATGCCTGGTATAACTGCTGCCATTACATTTGATGACTTTACACATCATGATCCACAACTCTCAAACTATGACATTCCAGTGTGGTGCATCAACAATGGATTATGCACGAATGTGGTTTGTGAACAAGGTGTTAATGTATTTCTAAACAAATGTATTAAATTTAAGAGAATTTGATTGCCACGTGGTTTTAATGTGTTGTGACTGCAAGTCTAAAAACTGCCACTAGAGGGCAGCGGTCAGTCATGCATCGCCAGATGAGAGAAGATGAAAGTGAAAATGATCTCGGAGATGCCATGGTGGGTCTGCATTACTGTCGCCACAAATAGGCTAATATTATATTATATCAGCTAGTCTCCTCTGTTAGAGTGAAATTGGTTAGGTGGCGGTGTCATAAAAAAAACTAGAGTCCTAGAAATACGGCCCTGAAACTGAAGCATCGATCCAGTATTGCAGGAATAGACCTTATTCACAGCAGCGCCATCTTTGATTTTTAACAAGAACGAAATCAAGTACAGTATTGTTATTTAATGTGTTTTTGGGTTGTTCTGCCGACAAAACACTGCACAATATATTTTCGAGAAATATAAGTAGACAAAAAAACCCCCCCAAAAAACCCAGACAACACGAGCTGTGGAAAATAAGTAATCTAGGTTTATACAGCTGTTTTGTTTAATTATTATTTTACAGCGGATGCCATTGAAAACACGGTTTAGTCTATCCCTCACAGCCTCGCTTTCATTCCCTGTAAAAAATAACAACAAAGATGGCGCTGCTGTGAATAAAGATCGATAAAGATCAATGGAGATGGTTTGTTGGGCGTGTTTTAGGCAAATGACTAACCTCTGCACGTGGCCCCTCATTTAGGATCCAAATTCACTAACATTAGGGCGATTCAGTACAAATTCATGCGCATACGCAAGTGTTGTGAATTATGCTGCCTTCACGTGCTATCTATCGGAATCGTTTTTTACGATAGTAAAAAATAGTTTCCTAGTTAAAAAATGGACAAGAACGCCCTCTCAAGTCAAATTTTGAATGCGATAATCACGACTTCAGAAGTGGGAAGTAGGACATTTCCGACAGCAAGGCAATGTGAAGGCAGCATTAGGCAAAGATTTTTCTTGAGAAGTTCTCCTGTGCATACAAATACAAAATAATCTACGTAATTATTATTAAATGAGACCCACAGCTCGTCCAAAATTTACTGTCTTAGTAGATGCTACATTTGAATGTGAACTTACTTCACAACTGTAAAAAAAAAAGTATGAATGTGTGTCGTATGAATTTAACACTTACCAGGTTGTCATTGTCATGCTTTTTTTAATGTAAGGATCACAAGAATGGCAATGCAAAGACAAGTTGGCACTTCCAAACATCTTGCAATTGCCTTGTTCCCACGTGACATCGGTGGGCGGGGCTAAAGACGCAGTGACGTATAAGTAGGCGTTGATTTTCTTCTGAGGAGGCGGTCTTTCATTGCACCATGACATAATGTGACAAAATCCAGATTAATCATTTTCTGAGCTTGGTTTCAATTAAAAAGGAAATTTTGAGTTACAAAACTTGCAGGATATTTTTATATTACAATATCCTCTTATAAATCAAAGGATCAAGAAAAACATTTATTTCTTAATTTAAAAGTACTTGGTAAAAAACCTGGTAAAAAATGACGGGCAGGCAATAAAGGAAAGCCTTGTTTTGCCCTCCAGGTGGGCGTCCTTATAAGAGTGTGACATCTTGTGCAAACTATGACTGGATTTCACCGCAACGGCAAATGTGAGTGTACCTTTAAGGACTTCTTCTGTTGTGTCATTATGGTATATATTGACGTTTTTACCGCATTTATCTAATATTTGTAACCCCTACAGGCATAAAAAAAAGGCATCAACACAAGCAGGCAATAATACTCACAAGCTGTTTACTGAAAATGCACATACTGGATACAAGAGGCCTCTCATTCCACTGATACAGGCCTCAATGCTAATTTATTGCTTATTTTTCATGGCACAAAAATAGAAATACAAATTTTTGCCATGCAAACCTACTACTGACAAGCTTTTACAAAACAGGACAAAGTAGGTGCTTCACTAATACAGAAGAACCACACTGTTTAGATGAACTGCAGGAAGCGAGACGATAAAAAACGAGAGTACAAAATAATGGTCATAAAAAAGGACAACACCACACAGTGAGTGATAGATGGGCCAGAATGCGTCAAATAAGAACCTGCACTCCCAGCCTTCACGTGCAAGTAGTGTTTGAAAATCGAGAAACACTAGAAAAAAGAAAAAAACTGCATTCCCAGAATGCTGTGCAAATAATCTCCATCACCTCCTTCTGTCACGATCACATCTTCTTTTCGAAAACTGACATTCATAACTATCATACACTTGATAAATATTTCACCTCGACAACAACCCACCCATCTGACCCCCTCAAACCATGCAACTCTCCATCCCAGCAACCCCATGTATCCCTCCTTCCTTATCTCTTCGTTAAGACTTTATTACGCAGTTGTTGTGCAGTTCCCTATCAGTTCAGCTCAATGCCAGCAGGATTTTAGCTGGCAGCTGTAAAGTGACCATGACAGATCAGATGATATGCTGAAGAGTGATGCTGAACTTCCTAAAAAGTCAAGTACAGTCTGAAGTTATGTAGTTGTTTGAAGAGGTTCTTCTAACTTGCAGCATTACTGGTCATGACCGGATGCTTTGTTGAATGTCTACACACTGGCAAACCATGAGTCTAGGAGGTGAGAAAAACTGTTACGGACACATTAACATATATAAAAGAACAAACTCCACCTATACATACCATCTATAGTGTCAGAAATGATCTACCATGTACCACTGTGATCTAACATTGAAAAACAGTTTGTCCGTTTGGCATATAATCGCTTTCATTGCAGCAGCCGTTAGTCAAATGTATATTAAAGGTGTGAACACAGTAATAGAGAAGATACACAGATGTGTAATGTACATATGAATCAGGAAAAGTGTGTGACAATTCAGCTGGAGTTGCTTTTGTCAGTCTGATCAAGTGATCCAAATGTCATAAAAAATAAAATAAAATAAAAAAGAGCACCAGCTTGATATTGGAGTCCTCTGATTTGTAACCAAAAGGCGAGGGGGCAAAAAACCTTATTTGATAATTCACTGTGCCGATAAGTCTTAATCAAGAAAAACACTGAAATATTTATGCCTACATACAATATAGTATAGATATGTACAAGTATACATACACAGAACCCAAATCAAACCCTCAAATAGCATAAAGACCCCCATGGATTAGGGAGAGGAGGAGTATGATGTGGGTGTTTGAAATATGATGACCATCTCTGTGGTCTGAGGAAGAGTTCAGTGCTTGATGTCCACATACACATACTGATGCCATCACTCAGTCCTTTGTGGATTCTCAGTATGAGAAAGCTCAGTCAATGTAAAAGAAAAGCAAAAGTCTGAATATCAAACTCGGGAGGGAAAGAATTGCATTCTTCCAGTATGTAATTTTTTAGATGACAGAGTACAAGGGTTTCATCTTCTTCAGTGGCTGAGTGAGGAGGAACGACAGTGGACGTTGATGGACTACAGTCAAGATGTCAAGTTGGTTGGGCCTGATCTGATTGGCTCCTGGAACTGGGCGCTTTAGATGGACTTGGATGAATCCTGCTTACTGATGAGGACCTCCAGAAGCCGCAGTTTGGCTTTAATGCGCTTGTACTCCTTGTATTCGTCCATCATAGGCATGCGATCTTCCTTCTGAGCATTCCTGCGGGGGGAAAAGAGCAAAGCTAACATGATGCTTTTGTCCAATATAAAAGTGTTTGTGTGTGTAATGAGAAGTCTTTAATTTGGTAACACTATTTTACGGTGTCATTTTTACACAGTTTCTGATTACGCTGACTTGTGGAACATATAAGAAACCTACAACAACCAAAGTTAAACAAAACAAAAACACTTCACTAAACATTTTAAATTCCTTTCTGTTTTCCAATGCCACTGCGATTTGTTTCGGGGCAAACAATAAAAGGCAAACGTGTTTAATCAGTGTCTTCAAAATCTTGGTTGAAAGTGATTTTTTTAAATCTTGATTAATCACATAATTATCGTGAAAATAAGCATACGCCATTTATCTTGAAATCATTTGCTATATTCAGCAAAGTAAAGAGTGATTCTCACAAAACCATATTTTCATTCAGTAAACTTAAGTGTCTTTCCAAAAAAAGACACTTGGAGACTCCAAAAGGACAACAGATAACCAAATGATATAAGGAGTCCATACAATTCATCAATGTATGCACACCAAAGCACCAATGAAAAAAAAAAAAAAAGACAGAAAAAA